CTTCCAAAGCAAATGTCAGATACATTAACAAAGCAAATATGCATTAGCCTGTATATAATGTTACATATTATCAATGACGTTTGAGAGCTTGACTTTTACATTTCTTTATGGGTGCTTTTATCAAAGAAATTCCCTTCTAGACCTCTTTGCCTATTTTAAATGTCAAGTTAACTTAAGATTTCTAAAATCTAGATTCCTGTTTCTTAATTACAAACATGCCAACAGATTTCTCAGACAAGCCAAATCTAGCACAAAAAAAAACACTCCACATTGCTCAATACAAGTGTTGAAGCTACAATGGCAAATATGTTAACAAATTAGCTGAAAACTGGTTTTCATGCCTCTTAACAACATTCTAACATAGAATAGCTATAAATATATTGAGATTTAACTCATTCACTGCCAGCCGTTTCCTGATCACTAACGGCCCTTCGCTGTCAGCGTTTCTCGCCGTTTTTACTGTTTTTTTAAAGAGTCCCAGAACGTTACGCGCTATGATGATGTCGACGCCAAAACAACCAAAACAACCAAAACAAAGCAAAGACTCATCTCTTACATCAGGAAGAATCTGCCCGTTTCGAGCGTTATCCGTTCTTTCATAATCCGTTGCTGAATTGTGATTGGCAGAAGCTTTTCCGGTTCACGCCTCACTTTTTTTACAGCAGCGGCCCCAAACGATCTGCTAACACATGGATTTCTGCTTCCTGATCACGTGACGCGTGACGTATGCGGATGGAGATCGGCTTTAGAGCTGATATGTTTGTTCTCACGGTGCGGGGGCTCGTTCCGACGCCCACACAGTAAAAAAAAAAAGCAATTGACGACTTTAGTCGTCATTGGCAGTGAATGAGTTAATGAAAAGTGAAAAAAAATCTTTCTGTTCCAACAGAACTGGGTTTGAGTTTGACCATTTATTAGGGCTCCTGGCTCATTGTGATCCCCAAAAAGTTCCATATGCTATATAGAGGCTCAAAGAACAGTTTTCAATTGTAAAAAACATTACAGAAACCCTTTGATTAAAATTTGGGTCTTTCATCACATCTCTTAGGGTGTGAGGTTTACTATCACCAAAGTCACTTTATTTTTCAAACTTTGTTTAATCTGTATTCATAGCTTTCGTTTTGCTAGACACCAAGCAAGCACTTTTATAGCAGGAAATAAAAGTTGCGTGATGCCATTTCTCAGTCCCTTGGCACTGTGGGTCTGAGCTTGTTCATAATGAATGTCAGTGAGCCATCAAAATGAGTCAGAGCACACCGTTTTAAGGTCACACACATCTCTGCTGCTGCTTTAAGTCTGGTTAGTTCCAAGATGAGCCATTTAAGGGAGGGACTTGTTTGTCCAACACACCTCAAATGGATTCATATCTGGAAAATTTACAGGATGAAAAATCAATGACACAGATTGGTTCGGGGGGTTCTGAAATGATTTTTAAATCACATTTTTTTCTACAAGTAAAACTGTAGATAGAGGGCAGTGACGTTAGAGAACACCATGTCCCTGAAGGCCTGTAAATAGACAGATGTTAAAGGTAGGTAGGTATTGCCTGCTAAGATAACATCTATATGATCACAGAGTTTCCAGAACATGATTCAAACCATCAAACTCCTTTTGGCCACCTTGGCTTCATTCCACAGTTTGCCTCAAAAACATTCTTTAAAATCCGCAGTAGCTCGTCTATCAACAATTCATTTAGGCAGTCCTTGTTTGGACCATTTCAGAAAACTAGAGACTAAGATTGTCACGGTCTGAGGTGAGTGGTCTTCAACTAATGAGGTCTGAGTCATTGTTTGCAGGTGAGCAGTGCCGCAGAGCAGGTCCAGCTGTAGCTGGTTGGCCAATCAGCAAGTCTGGCCCATTTAAGGAGCTGGCAGATGACGCCACAGTGCCAGACAAAAACTCACTTTGGGTACAATCAAACTCGGTGTCGCTAGCTCTCTTTTTGAGCCCCTAAATATATTTTGAGTTTCCTAACCCTCTTGTCTCCAGGTGTCTCAACCATCTAGCCTGGCAAGCCAGACTAAATAAATGTATTATTTAGTCTGGCCATGCTCCATTAACGGCTCTCGGTTGTGGGGCGGGTTCTACCGTTGTCTTTCAAATGATCTCCGCATTCCACTGGACGATGAATGTGACATACTCTTGTTTCACTCTGTTGCATCATCCCACCCACCAGGCACATAGAGTGCCCTGACTGGCCCACAAAGCGGATAAGCTCTGTGATTTGTTCACTAAGCAGATAGAGCACTGTGATTGGCCCACCATTATGGACCAATCACAGCTTTTTATGTGTTTGAAACCCCTCTAGAGAGCTGTGATTGGCTAGCCAGAGTCCTGGTAGGTAGCTGCGGAGGTTCCAATGGAGCGTGCCTAGACCAAACTTTGCAAAGCAAGAATTTGGTCTAGTTCACTAGGCTATCAACCATCACCAACTGACCAGCAATAACCTCGTGGATCACTTTCGAGCCAACGTCTGCCTGCAACCGTGTCCGCCCTGCTCTCTCACCACTCACTTTGCCTGGAAACCTTGGACATCCTCAAGTCCTCACACCTGTTTCCTACCTTCGAGTCCTCCCTATGACCACCACCTCAGGCCTGACCCCATTCCCTCTTGAGCTTTGAGCTTCCTGCCGGACCAGCCTCTTGAGCCAGAGACCCAGTCTACCTTGCCACACGTTTGTGGCGTTCTTTTAGTTTTTCTAGATAAAAATGTTTTTAATTTCTTGTGCGATTCTACATGTCTTTCTTGGGTCAAACACCTCAACCCAAACATGACAAGGATCAGCTCAGAAAACAACCCAAATGTGTATCTGGGCCATGATGCTCATCGTTTTCTGCATTTAACACATTGACTTTCAAAGATATCAAACATTTGGAAGTTTTCTGTATAGTAAAGGTGTGTAAAAAGAGAATCAGGTCTATTGCTAAATGTTCTTTGAATGGCACCAGTTTGGAGAAACAGAGATTAAAGTTGTGGAACACTGAAAACACATGTTTTGATGGCTATTTCTGATTATAAAGGGACACTCTAAGTTTACTATGCTGACTGAACATTAAAATAGTCTCTTAAACCTATCTCCTGCATTAATTTCTGATATGGGATGGATGTTGTTGGTTTAGCGTCCAGGAAACAGAATGTCTCAGCTAGTAGAAGCTAACTGTTAGCATTAGCAACTTCACCACATAGCAGAACTGTGGTAATGTGGAGATAAAACATCTATATTGCAAGTTTGAGTTAAAGTCGAGTTGCTGTTATCCAATCCAGGGCAAGATGTCCAAATATCAGCAAATAAAACACCAAATTCTGCCGGGTTATTCCACTCTCTCCTCCAGCTGACTCCTCTGTGACGATTCAAACGCTTATGCTGGGTTTCCCCCAGCGCTTTATAAGCCTGGCGGCCCAGCAGGTTTTGCTTGGCCACCCACCAGGCTAAGCGTCATGCCCCGACCCTACCGTGCCCGCTGACACAAACAGTGCAACAAAACTAGAGCCTTCCATCAGCTCATACTGGTGAGAAACAGCAGCGGAAAGTGTGCAACCCCCCCCCCCCCCCCCCCCCACCCCCACTCCCGCTCTCACGGAGGAGCGCTCCCCCGGCTTTAAGCCTGCAAACATTTACACACTTGTTCATTTCATATTACACGGTTGTTCCAACAGAGAATTAAGTAAATTCGTACTGGAAGTGTCAGGATGTTTGGGTTTAGAAGTTTTAGTTCTGCCTTTCTTAGCTTTATATTAGCTCATTTATAATCCTTGTTCATTTCTGTGTTTATTTTTTATTGCTTGTTTCTTATATATTTGAGCCTTCATTGTGTTTGTATTTAGTGATTTATTCATAGGAGATGCCGAGTTTCTGGGTTCTTTATACAGATCAGTGCCTTATGCCAGCGTGACTGAATGTTAGCTTGGTTAGGGTTGGGACTAACCTGTTTATCTAAGCTGAGACTGTTCAAGACCTATCTACAACAGGTGGGACTTTCTGAATTCTTGTACCTTCAGGTAAGTAAGCAATGTAAGCACATTCATTAAATTCACGGCTGACATTCTCCCCGAGGAAACACATCTGTACTAAAATATATACAAAAAAGATTGTTTATGCAATCAGAATGAGCTGTAGGAGGTAGCTTGTTGTGGTTGCAGCTGAATACTGAGAGCAGCTGAGAAGGAACGACATTTCTATCTTAGCGTGGTCGCCTCATTACGTGGAAAAACAGAGTATCAGCCTTGCTGATCTTTTAGGTTTCCCTCACTGTGCATTAGGCAAGACAATAAATGTCAAGCAGCTCCGCTCCTCACCCAGTGCCCACAAGTGAGATTCATTACTGAGCCATAGGGATAATGGCAGTCCATCTCATGAGAGGAAGTTAAAGGCTCCCTATCCTTGGGACAGGATCAATAGTCAGCAGGCTTGATCAAGAAAAGGGCCGTGCCTCTACAGCGCTTGTCGGGAAGGTAGGATCCCACTCCACAGCATCACATCCCAGCATTCCTTTTGTCTTTTAAGCAGCAGTCAGCCTGCCACTGCCTGATCTCCTCACCATCAGCTGTATATATTATACATGAAAAAGCATCTGGTGATTATAGTACAAAGATACTAACACTTTTGAAGCATTATTCGTGTGTCTGCTTTAAAGTCTGGATAACGAGACCTGGCGTGTAACTTGCCAAAATATGATTCTGTTTGGACAAACTGCAGAGGCTGTCAGAGTTTGAACCACTAATGAGAATCAATGGGGTTCAGAGCCAGTCAGAGGCTACTCCTGTGTTTGTTGCATCTGACATTTCACTCAATTACCATGTCCTCCTGTGAAAATCTATTCCCATGCAATCTAAATTAGAAATCAGAAGAGTAAATAAATAAATAAACGCAAAAAGAATGCAGGTTCTGAGCGTATTACACTTGTCAGCCTGACATACAGCGGGTACAAACACATGCCAGAATGTCACTACTGTGTCGAAACTATGGCAACAAAATGTTAGCAAATGCAGCATTACTTACATGCAAATTGGATGCTGGCTCTGCGGCTGAGGATAGAGCCCCACGTATTGAAAGCCATGCATTGGTAGATCCCAGTGTCTTGGTCCTTGTCCAGGTTCCTAATGATCAGGCTGCCCCCAGACATGTGACGCCGGTAGTCGCTCCCCAGATCAATGGCTGTTCCGTTTAGCGACCATCTGGAAAAATGCAAACACAATCAGTAGCTGAGCCCCCTGGAGATGAACACTTGCAGTGTTTTATCAGAGATCAATTGGGTTCTCTTGGTCTGCCCACATCGTGCTGAGAGGATGAAAGGTGTGTAAAACGAGCAGGGCTCAACATCACTAAAAAAAACTAATCTGGCCTGCCTCAGAATAATGTTACAATTTTAAAAAGATCATCACAAACTACTGTGGACTAGGTTGAGTGCTTTCAAGTACATTATTTGGTTTACAATTAAGACAGAGTCTAAAAAAGGCCAAATTATAACCTAATAGAATGGTTATTGGCTTAAAGAATGTCAGCAAGAAAACATTTGCCTTAACACAGAAGGTTTTCCAATATTGCTGCAATCCAGTCACACTCAAAATTCGTGAAGAAGGTAGCAGGATCTTAATCTTGTATGAGGAGGGCCTTAACCATGCCAATGCTGACTTCCAAAGGGAATCAAGGAAGTTTTGGCTTGCTTTTAGCAGCCCCTAATGTCTGTTTGTAGAACCGAAAGCAAAATCTGGTGCCCAGTTTAGAAAAAAAAAGAAAAGAAGAGGAGGAGAAATGAGGAAAAGATGCAGGTATGAATGTCTTTATTATTTAGTTGGTATTTTTTCCACCTATCCCCCAACTTATGGCTCAACTAACCTCTCTAATCTGTACATTTTGCATGGTGCTATGATGATCCCTTCAAATGTCAAATGAAGTTTCAGTGCTGTGTGTATGTGGGGGTTAAATCTTGCAATACAAGAGCTTTGTTATATACAACACACTCCACACAATTTGAAACAAAGTTGTCGTTGTAATTGTTTTTCTTGTGTGTGTGTGTGTGTGTGTGGGGGGGGGGGGGGGGGGGGGGATTCTCGCACAGGGCGCCATTTAGGCTAGCTCCGCCTCTGCTCCCATGACAACAACCTTCCCCATCGCAACTCGATGGGTGAGTCCATGAATGTTAAGTGACAGTGTGACGTAGATCAGTCAGGATTTTCTGAACTGAGAGTTTCACTGTCGATTTTCTTTGGTAGAGGCAGGGGTGGACTGGTACCAAAATTCGGCCCTGGCATTATTACGAACCGTTGGCCCTCAGAGCGGGGTGGGGGGTTGGTGTCGGCCCAAGCTGGGCAAGCAGCCCACTTGTCTAAGCTGCCCACCAGTGCCAGAATGCCAGATAGGCCAGTCCACCCCTGGGTAGAGGTAGGAGACTATTTTCATGTTCAACGTGCATGTTAAGTTCAGAGCGACCGATTAATCATTAATCAGAAATAATAAGTAAAAAATGGGATCTCATTGAACCTGCTCTTTATACACCTTCCATGTTTAAGTTAGATGTCGATTAACAAGCTTTTGCAGATTTTGAAGACACGACGAACAAATAACTAAATAAGACGTGTTGGAGCAGGAAAACAACTAAGCACGCAGAATAGAGGCCTCTGAGGACCTTGATTGCACATAGCTGCCTTAAGATGACTTTTTTATTACTGTCAGGAAAAGCTTCAGAATTAATTTTGCTGCCTATTTGTTGCAACCAAAATAATACAATAAAAATGTCACTGTGTGCAAATTTCAGAGATACTAGGGGCTTTGAGGCAGAATTCGACATCCAATAGAACAGGTGATGGCCAGCCTTGAGGTTGACTTTCAGGTCCTGTTTTCTATTCAATCAATGTGAATAGTTGGAATGAAAATCACTACCATGCCTGCAATGTTCTCCTGAATGTGCAGTCGGAGGCAGATTTGAATCTGAAAGGAGATTAAAATATCTAAATATTTTGTGATATTACCATAACACATCTGAGGGAGTGAGGAGCCTTGGCAGATTAATCCACTCCTTGAGTGCTTTCTAATTAGTTTTCTGTTTGTGCTTTTGTATTTTCGACGTATTGCTCGTTGACACTTTTATATTGTATTGTCCACAGACCATTTCCCTACGAAAGGTCACGAGACACTCTGTCATGCAAGCTGAATTCATGAAGTGACAGCTATTAATCACAGCTCCAGTCACAGACAAAGCACTGAATAATGCTCACACTCCACAATAAAAAACACTTCATACGTAATTCACTGAGATCTGCGATCTGTCACTCTGTGACAAATTTGAAGGAGATGCCAAATCCTCTAAGACACCTGCTGCAGCACGTGGCTAATGGGACTTCATCTTAGAGGTTTAACACAGATACAACGTTTTTGGTCTCATGTGTCTTATAGAAATTGAAAAATAAAAATGACTGTAACAGCAGGTATCAGTCTCATTCAGTAAAAGGACTGTGAAATGAAAATTTCAATGATGAGGAGGAGGGAAAAAATCAATATCATTTTTAGCCTCCGAGGCAAACTATCAGGCAGTTAGAATGATGCATCATGCAGTCTTAAAGCCAGCCGCGGCTCTCCCCGGTTTCCTGCCTGACAGACTACAAAAGACAAAGCTGTCTTTCATCTTGTAGCCTGCATTATTCATCTAACAGTCTCTGCCAGTCACTTAATCTGACTGATTTTGTCACTGTTTCAACGTTACACTCAAACACCCTGTGCTCCTCAAAAAGCCAGGAGCTTTCCAAGAATATGCATAAAAACACCAACACTTCCCAAAACCAGCCATCTATCTATTTGCCTGTGCTGCTCCGGTATTCCTGCCTTTGAAAACCCCACCGCTCTCCCTCCCCTCTGTGTCAAAGAAGGGATTATTGTATGTGCAAAAGGGGAGGAGGTTAAATAAAAAAAGATAGGACAGATAGCTAGCTGGAGCTGGTGCAGCGCAGCGTGATTGAATTTAATGGGAGATGAAGGTGGGCAGTTTGGACAGATCCTCGCACCACGGTGAAGGAAGCTGGCACAATAAGTGAGCCACCCACCATTTCTTTCCACACAAATGACATGCTCTGATATTAGCCGACACATTTGCCTTCTTTGTTCAATCTCAGTTCAATTCACTTCGTTTACGTAGCATCTGTTTTCTGCAAAATCCCTCTCACGTAGAATTCAAGTTCCTCTGCATCGGTATTCTTTGTTTCACAGACAACACCGTAAGTCCCACAATTTAAGGTAGTACGGTGATTCACCCACCACAACATGTGGCAGTTAGCTAACACAGAGCATAGTTGTCACCTCAAGAGAAAGAAAATGTCTGTAATTTAAATGTATTTTAAACAAACAGCAAAGGGACTGTAATAAACATTTAACGAGGTGGAAAAGGTAATGCTGCGTTCAACACCGATGCAGCAGTTCAACTATGCCAGCTGACACTAAAAGATACATTAGGATACCAAGAAATAGTCTGAAGACAGCCAAAATGCCAAGATAGCAGCATGTTATCACACTGGATAAGCGTCGTGGTTGCAAACGTCGGGTTCTGCAGTCTCCTTGATTCATGGTGTGATCTGCCTTCTCTTCCTACCTTTACAAACACAGCAACTCTACAAGTGTTTTGCAGAAAAAAGTTACTCTGCTGCTCGCTGTCATGTGCCGTGCAATCCCTGTCGCTGAAAACAGCCACACACTAAATAAACGATTTAAAATATGAGCGACAAGGCTATTTTTACATTTATTCTTAATATTAACACGTTTCTTAGGTGTTTAGCACTAAATGGTCATGGTCACGAAAATAAAGAAAACTCATTGAATGAGAAGGTGTGTCCAAATTTTTGGCCTGTACTGTACATTCTTAATGTTAACGTGTTTCTTATTAATTTAAATGGTAAGTGACAATTTACTTTAACATATATTCTTATTATGAACATGTTTCTTATTGATATACTTCCTAAACAAGTGATGTTTTATGGCAAAACAACCAAAGAAATAACATAAATATAAAAAGAAAGAAACTTATTAATGATTAAAAATAACTTAAAGGACAACTCTACTGTGTTCTTTTTTCTGAATGCATTTTTAAAGTATCGGATCAAGATTTGGTATCGGCAGATTCTTAAAATCAAATCATTCGGAATCAGATCAGTAGAAAAAAATGTATTAAAAAATGTGATCTGAACATCCCTAATTTAAACCTACTTTATTTTGGGACAAAGAAAATGATAGTTGTCCATGCAGAGCTTTTGCAGTTTACATCCTTATGGGAGGAAGTTAAAGTATGTAACAGTGGAAAAAATGTTTCAAATTTAAACACCAAACATAAAAAAAAGTTGATGATTGTCCTCAGAAGACCTTAAAGACATAGTTCACTTATTTTTTTCCAATGATTTTGCAGTGGACTCTGGTAAAAAAGAATGCCTTGTGAATCGATCTTTGTGGAGAAAAAAAGCTCTGGCACGTCTGTTTTGGAAGCTTGAAATTAGCTGGAGGACAGGGGAGCTTAAAACAACAGGATTTGGAGTCTTATTTTCTGATATTTGGACATCTCGCCTCCGATTGGCTAACAGCAACACGACTCTACCTGTTTGCTCTGTAATGTTGATGTTTTATCAACACAAATAACACAAGCCTGGAGGAGACCTGGCATGTAGTGGAGTTGCTGATGCTAATGCTACCTATTGCAACCATCGACATATATACTGGACAATTCATTTCCATAGGATCCAATAACAAGTTTCTGAGGGGAAATGGGAGGTGGCCACCACCGCCATTTTGACCGTGTCACAGGTTCCGTCAAGCCCCGACAATTCCGCAAAAGGAATGGAGCTGAGGGTGGGGCTGTAAGGCTGAGATCAACTGACGACACCCGGTCGAATTAGCTACAAGCTAACCTGAAGCTAACACGGAGGTAAGAGCTATGCTAATGGAGGTAGCAACCTAGCTACAACTGGAGTTAACTGTGCACAACGCCCAGGGTCGTTGCTAGCTAATTTGGTGCCCTAAGCACAAAGGCTTTGTGGTGCCCCCCCAACACACACACACACACAGAAAAAACAACACAATAACACAGTATGTGCAAGCGCTTCACCTTAAATTCTCTCTAATTCTCTTGTATGCACAAACTGCTTATTCTTTTCCAAAAAGTAGGATTGATATTTTGTGTGTGTGTGTGTGTGTGGGGGGG